ATCAGATTGCAAGATTCGTTACCGTGCCCTCTAAAAAAACAATAAAGGAAAATACGGACCGCGTAAAGGTCCAATCAGATTGCAGGATTCGTTACCGTGCCCTCTGAAAAAAAAAATAATGTTGAATAATACCCTCGAATTCGTCTCGGAGATTATTAAAAAATATTCACTGAGCCTGACGCGGATAATCGTCAAATATTCTGTAATGCCCTTGACGTCATGATTTGTGAAATTCCTTTCCCAATTTTTTTAGACGATCGAGATCTTTGACAAAGTAATTATTTCTATGAATGCCTTTACAGATGAGAAGCTTACGACTGACCAAAGCTAAAACGTAGAGAAAAAAATCCGCATCGTTCAAACGAACGAAGTAAGATCATACAAAATTTCGTTGAACGAAATTCTCTGGTCGGCCGATCACGGAAGTCGAAGCGTTTTAAAATTTGGTCGCCAACAAGTTTTATTTTGTTGTTTAATTTGTGGAAAAAGGGATTTTTGTACAATGGCTAAAAAACAACCAATTTAAAAGTTCATTTTCTAACCTGTTTCAGCGACCACCTTAACGCCAGAAGAAGCTTTCTGTCCTCTTCGCCACATGATGTAGTCCGCACTGTGAGAGCAACCTATTAAAGGAGAAAAGTGTGCACTGCTTGGAAGGACTGTATTCGGATGATTTGCTTTGGTCCAAGTAGCTTTCCACGATAATGTGTATGTGGCTGTCCCAGGACATTTAACTGCAGTTGACGAAACTACAACAACGCTAAGAACAGCCAAGAGAGTGCCTATGTGTTGTGCCATCTTCGCAAGAGTGACTTTCGCAGTAGACGCCGAGGACCGTTTATAACTTGCTTCAATTTAAAATTATCATCTTAGCCTGACCCCGGTTTTATTTTAAAAAGATGATTAAATTTGATGAGCACCAGTGACTCAGCAAATCATAACTTAGAAATGCGTGACATTAAGTGGGAAAGATATTTTCTTTGGAAACATTTCCTTTCTTTATATTTGCCCACCGTCAGTCTTTGTTTCACGAGCCAATCGTAATAATTCCGTCATGGGAACTGGCGTGTTTGTAATCATAACAACTCGCAGCCGGCTCACGAATGAATTGTTTGTAATCCGACAAGAAGTTCCTTTGACGTATCTGACGAAAAGGTTTTTTTTATTTTATTATTATTTTTTTTACTTGTTAATTTGACGTCAAAGATACAATTTGGGACATTAAAATCAGCCTCCGTCCGAAAGCTATGATTATAACGCGTTATGAATGGTAAATAGTCTCTCCAAGAAGTAAGGTTTTCGCAAAATATTGAACATACTTTGAAATCTCCGGCTTTCTTGAGTTTGAACATTTCTTTCAGTCTCAAAGAAAACACGCTTTTTCCTGTTAGAATTCGTGAATTTCAAACGAACGCGTGGGTGTTCACCGCAAGCTGGTGAAAAATCCCAACGTCAGAAAAAAAAAAACAAAACAAAACAAAACAAAACAAAACAAACCCAGAACAACTAACGCAATAAAATATTCACCATGGCCTTTTTAGGGAATAAATTAAAGCTGACATAGACACGCGCACACAAAAATACGTGACAAGATCTATACCAAGAGATGATAAACTGTTTGTAATCTCTTGTCTATACAGAATATAACCAGTAATGTTTCCATATACTGTCGGGCAAGCTTGAATCTTTTTTATAATTTTATAGATATGAACTTACATTTATTTTATTACATTCTATGTCTTTACGATTCCACGGTCAGACTGCATTCATTATTGCTTTTTGTGTTTGAAATTTGACGGTAAAAGTAGAAGCTTGCCGGGATAAAACTAATATCTTACAATACTAATATGAATTATATTCATAACAGAGAATATGTGGTCAGTGAAGTGAAGCGAATCCCGTGTTATAGACGTCTACCCGAAGGGACAAGATTGGCCCATCTTGCGTGCTTTTATCCCGCTTTCCTTTTGGGACAATGTCGAAAAAGGAGTTCCAATAGAAATTCGAAATGACTTTGTCAAATAAAAAACGAGCACATTCCATCGCAGTTGGTTTTTGCTTTCCAGCGCCCGAAAATCAACAAGTCATTCTTGAGCGCAATCTTTTCGCTAAACGATAGATCCTTTGTTGACCAAGCTTGTTCGGTCAGGATGGCTGGACATTAGCCTTGCTCCTTTTTTTTTCCTATTTCTTTTTGCGCTCTTAACCCTTTCACTCCCAAGATCTAATTAGTAATTCTCCTTACTATCTGCCATACAATTCTTATGATGTTAGTTCAGTGAATTTGGTATTGGATCAACTAATAATCCTATGATTGATATTCTTCTCTATTCTCATCACCTGCCTGCTTGATATTGTATTGATATTGTAAGGAGAAATTCTGTCTTGGTCACTTATGGGGGTGAAAGGGTTAAGAACCTCAACTTCGTCTCGATCCCTAACAACACAAACACACACAAAGACTCAGCCAATCTCCGGCTATTTTGACCTCACACTTTAGACAATAACGCATTTACTGGTCTAGTGATTCCGCTGATGATTAATGACTAAAAACAAAACAACCCCGACGGCGGTAAAAAAAATGACACTGACTGTAGTAATGACACCAGGAAACATTTCTTTGTAGCCTTAGTGTAATACTAATCAGTTATTTGTTATTTACACATCTGTTGGTAATTCGAAAAAAAAATGAGGGGGATAAGTTTATATAGAAACCGTGGCGATGTCTCGCTCTGACGAAGGGCTTGCCCTCGGAAAATCAGCTTAAGAAACTCTTTACAGTGGCCAATTTACATTCAGTTATCAACTCAGTTGATAAAACCAAATTATGGCTCGTAACGTAGATGGCTGCCTTCACACGAAAATTCCAACGTCACTTCCCCTGCGGGGAAGGTTTTAGGAAATTGTTATATTCTAATACCAAAATTGAGAAAAGGGTTGGGGAAGGTGGGGGGGGGGGGGGGAGAACCGCTGTTCAAGATCACTTCGACTCTAAGAAGATATTCTAGCATCTCCCTCATTAAACTGTAAAAAAAAAAAAAAAAAAAATCTCCGGAATATTTATCATACCAAGTTTATGTCAAGATTCGTTATTGATAGTTTTAATGATAAATGGGTTGTGCGTGCTTGAAAAAATCTGTGAAAATTTTTACTTAAATGCGGTGACAAGCATGGAGGAAGATCGAAGGGGAATGAAACTTGCAACGTTTTCCAAAAGAAACCACAGTTACTGAATCAAGTAAAACTTTTCACAGCTGACCAGCCCTAACTTTTCACAGTGAATGGAATCTGCGACTCAAGAAAATGAATCGCATTTGTTTATTTGTTTTCTATTCAGCTCTCTAGGAAAAAGGCCAAAAACTCCACTCCACTAAGACACGGAAAAAAAAACTTAAATTATTTGGCACCCTAAAGCAAAAATGCCAGAATGGAAGCAACAATAACGATCATAAGCGAATTAACCCAATCCTTGCCGGCCGAGTTCTCCTTCTCGGTCGAGTTCTCCTTCCCGGAGTTGTCCGTCTCCACTTGAAGCATGAATCGAAACTCCCCCAGGCTTTTGATGGGATTATTGGCCTTAAAAGGACCCTCCATGGTGTGATTGATTCGGAAGATTGGCACAGGTGGCACTGTTGGTTGATCGCCAATAAACGTAGGCTCGCTATCAGTGCCTGAATCATACGGTGGTAACATGGTGACGTCCCAGGTCTTTCGCCATTGGCCATTGTCACAGAGATCATGGCTGTCAATTCCTATGAACCAATCGGGGGATGGAGCGAGCATACTGATCAGAGACACCCTTGAAAAGTTGGAGGTAACCTTGACTGGAATACCGGTCCTTTCCTCTACTGCACCAAGGCCATACCCAGGCAGAATGAGCTGCCACACCTTTCCCGTAGACTTCTGAGCTTCTATTTCGGCTTTGAGTGTTCCAGTTTGACCTTAAAACAAATAAAAATACCAAAGATAAATGATACGCTGAGATGTATTAATTCACATATGTCTACCAAAACAAAAAATCGTTTGTCTCAAGTTTCACACCATGGATGTATTTCTATGTTTACTACTTGTGAATATACACGACCTATTTAAAAAAAAATGCTCAAAACAATACAAAACAAAAACATACACGATTAATTTTACACACACAAAAAATGCTCATAACATGCGAGTTGCGAAGCCATTATTTTTACGAGTCCGTAATAGCGAGGAAAAATAGAAGATATGTATGGTGGCCGAGGGCTGCCACTCAGAATTTTAGTTTTTCTAAGATTGAATAGTAAAAAAAAAGAAATCAAAACTGAAAGTAAAATGGAACGTGACTGCAAAAGAAAGGAAAAAGAAAGATTGAAAGTAAAATAAAGTAGAAATCAAATTTAAAGGCAAAATTCATTTCAAAATAAAACTGAAATCCATGGGCAATTCACGTCTATGAGTGGCAGCCCTCGGCCACCATGTAAATCCTTAATTGCCCAAGCTTGTTTGGCAAGATGGCTGGATATTAGCCTCGTTCCTTCTTGCGTATTTATGGACCTCGACGCGAAAAAAAAAGAATTTGGTCAATATCCAACCATCTTGACCCACACTTTGTCTATAACACGTAGACGAAACGGTCGATAACATTTTCATGTACGTCGGGATTTCTTTCACTTGGAAAGTGAATCTTATGATTGCTTCGGCTAAATGAACTTATTCAAAATACTTCTGTTTGCATTATAGGAGCTCAGAGTTTAGGGAAAACAAATGCGAACTGTCGAAATGTCGATCATATGTCTTTTTTAACTTTTATGTTCGCCACCATTGTTAGGACAAGGAAAGGAAATTGTCTTGGTAAGTCTTTCAAAAAAAGTTTTGGCTCAATATTCGAATAAGATGATCCGTAAAAACCTGAAAAACGACTGCAACAAAGTTCGTTTTCTTACCTAGTTCTGCCACTGATTTAACACCAGCAGAAGCATTCATTCCTCTCCGCCACATTATGTAATCAGATCCATGAGTACAACCGATTAGATTCGAGAAATGTGCACCGCTTGGAAGCGGTGTATTGGGATGATTATCACGAGTCCATGAGGCCTTCCATGTCAAAGTATAGTTTGCGTTTCCGGGACATTTTGCAGCCATCGAAGAGGCCACCAACACGTTTACAAAGGCTGCGAATATGCT